TCTTAACTGACTCTTTCCCAACAGAGAGACAATTTTAAAAAACAAAAAATGAACCATTTTTTATACCACTTTAAATTTATGAATAATGTATCTTATATAATAAATGAGAATATTGATTAATTATCATTGTTTATGACAAACTAATGTATTGTTGAATACCCTCGTTCATAACAAAATAATATATACATAAAATTATTGACATAATATAGTGTAAAAAAATGGTGTAAGCCCAAATATATGTTACAAGTGTTTTGTTTTTCTGCAATATGTTACTAGCTTTAAATCTACCTTATTTAACTTGTAATTTGTTTCTTACGTACTTTGCTATCCATATAATTAACCTATGTAAGACACTAAACATGGATTAATCACTTATCTTTTTCACTCAATGACAATTCTACAATTTTCTTGCCAGACATTAATATTTTTCACAAATTTATCCACATAATGGAACATTGATATTTTGCTGTAAAAATATAAATATTACAGTTGAATTGACGATTTTTATTGTTATCTTGATAATTATTTTTTCCATTCTTTTGTATAATTGAATTTGATAAGCAAACATAAATTGTTAAGAACTTGAACATAACTCCTCTAAAGTGTATTTCAAAAGTTAAGTGCAATGATTATTGTTGATTTGAAAATGAACAATTGAAACTGGAATAAAACACTTGTATACATAAAATAAATTATGTAAATATTAAAATTATATATTTAATCATTTATTATTAATCCATTCTTTATCCTCAAGAATGAGGTGCATTTCAGAAACACCAAATTCTAAAAACTTTTACACATTACTTTGGTTGATAAATGGAGAGTAATTATATTTGAGAAATAAACAAAATTTATAGTCTTTATAAGCGAATAAACAGACAGCAAAGAATCACGGGCCATCAACTGACAACGCCTTTGACAAGGTTATGATTATGAATGAGTTCGGATCCCGTATTGTGGAATGTGCAGTAATTGGAGAAGTAAATAATATGTGAAATGTTTGGTTTTAAGTTTTGAAAGCCCCAAACTACAATTTGAGCAAAAGTTCATGGTTTGAGAATTTCAATCTGAAAAACATACTACTGTTAGTTGCACCGAGTATCACGCGCCTCAGTACGTTGAATTCGGCTTCCCTGAAGATCTACTTTTATGTATGAAATATTGCACAATTCTAAGCAAATACTCCACACGTTTACAGCAAGGAATCCGAAAAATATTTTTCATACTGTCACAGCACAATTTAGATTCATCACTGTGAAAACTACTTGATTGACAGCATACGTTCTCTACAAAGTATTCCACCTTCCATCAAGCTAATTGGTAGCATCTTTAGAGTACAACAACAACATATGTTTACCCCACTTGCTACGGTATACCAAAGTATTAAACATCTTAACAGTGTAAAACTTATTTTAAAACAGCATGATATTGTACACTGCCATCTCTCCTCTCACCAGAACAACATGTTCATCAGAAATAGCACCAAAATTGGGCCACGCAACACAGCAAAATCTCAGTATTTCACCCATTTCTTCTAAATCACAACATCTGTAAATATTTATCTCTAGAAATTAAAGGGATCTCAACCGTTATTGAACTGAAAAGGCTTGTACAGTCTGGCTTACTCCCACGTGTCCTTCCTGTGAACTTTTTGCCGTACTCCATTTAGGTTTTATATTTAGTTTTTCTCCCATTTCATTAGGAGGGGACCCTCCACTTATCTGATAGCTTTTACCCATATACATTTCTTCTTTTTCTTTTTCACTTTAGCAATCTCTATGAATTCATTGCTTGATAACGGCTTCATCTTTTGTGCTGATTAGCCATATCACAAGAATCCACAATTAGGCAGTCCTCACGCCATCACAATCTATACAGATGGATGAACTTTTTTTTTATCAAGTTTGCACCAAGCAATGAACAAAAATTAAGGCTCAGTATTAGCCAAAAGCAGGAATAGATCGG